CGTGGTACCGTCATAAAATCCCTTTCCCCCCCCCCCCCACAGTACTGTCACTAAATCTCCCCCTGCCCCAGGGTCCTGTCACAGTGACGCAGCCACTGACTACACTGCAGGCATTTGTTTGCTGTGTGTCCCAGGGGCGTCCCCACATCCTGGAGGGCAGCACTAGCCTGGCAGGAGTGGCGGAGCCGAGAGCTCAACAGCCGCCTCCGAGTGCCACGAGAGAACCCAAGTGGGGCCAGGCCGTCGCCAGGTGAAGGGCAGCTGGTGGCGAACAAAGGGAAAGGGCCCATGGGCAGATGTTCGTGATGGAGCTGAGGACGGTTGCCTGTTCTTAGGGCCAAGCTGGTCCCTGCTGCAGGGAGAAGCAGAGCATGGGGACGGGGAGCAAGGAGCCGGAAAACGCCCCTGAGAGAGCCCGAAGGCTGATTCCTGCCACACTCACAGCTCCCTTCTTGTGGCTCACTCAACTAGCTGGTAAGCAAACCTGGCAGAGTGAAGATCCACCGTTGGGCTTGTGTGTCTCTGGATTTTCTTGGATGCTGCCCGTTCTCCTGCAAGCCAGGCTCTGTCGTGGTAGCACCTGCAAAAGCACTGTTCATTCTCGGCTGGTACCTTTGCTTTTGTAATTCAACCTTCTTCTTGCCAGGTTTAGACAAGACAAGGTAGGCAAGCTGGCGTAGGCACCCCTCTGTAAGCGGGGACTCTGAAATGATGAGACCTTCTTCATAAAAAGTTTAGCAGAGGCAAAGCCTGGTTTCCCAGCATTATTGGTGCATGGTGACTGGATTTAACACCTGTTAAAGTGGGAGTCCCGGTACTTCAACTGCAAAGCATCTCTGTTTTTTCTTTTGTGACATGTTTATTTCTAGCTTAAGGTGTCTAGATAATGGGATCATTTCTCATTTCATTTCTGTGCGGGGGATTTAAAGTAAGTAGAGTCGTGTTTGGATTCAGATCATGAGGTTACCGCATCTCGTGCTGTTTTTTTAAGAGGTGACAGTTGATTACATAAGTAAGCAAATGAATGACATAAGTGAGCACATATGACTGCCCAGAGGAGTTTTCCATCTATTGACTCCTCTGTGAAATCCTATGAAATATAAACTTCCATTTCTACCCAGGAGAACTTGTACAATCTTTTCTCCAATGCCTGATGAAGGGTGTTTGTGCCCAAAAGCTTGCAATTAAATACATTTTTTGCAACAATCTTGTTGGTCGAAGAAAAGAGATCATCTCTACTACGAGTCCTGATTGCCAGATTAATTATATGCTTTCCACAGAAGCCAACCAATTCAAATTTTAAACCATACAGAGAATTATTTCACAGCATATCCGATTACATGAGCCTCAAGAGGAGCCCACCATAAGGGCACACTTATGTGCTGTAACTTTACTTCTGAAAACTTGGCCTTTTCTATCTCTTTCCACGGCTCTCTCGTCAGGCAGCATCCGTTAAACACAAGGTTCCAGGCTGGATAGAGGACTTGCTGCCAAAAATAGCTCCAGCTTGAATGATCTGCAGCCACGTGCTCTAAGAAGTAGAAAGCACCACCCTGGGGAGACAAAACAATTCTTAAAATGGTCTTGGGGTATGCAGCTTGTAGAACATTTCTTAGTTATCCTAAAAGTCTCTTTTCCCATTTACTCTGTCCAAACTGAGAACTGACACACCTTTAATGCTAGTTTTCCTTGCATACTTTTCATTCAGTCTCTCTGTCTGTCTTTTTCCCTTTTTTGTAGTTCTTCTAAAATCTTTTTCTATTCAATTGAATGTTAATATGAACATGAAATTACATATTTATTCAGATGTTTAAAACCCACATTAATATATATTCTAAAAGCTGCCTGACGCTTTATCTACAGAGATATGCTGTCCACAAAACTCTTGTATTTCCTTTATAGCATTTTAAAATCTTTCCCTGATTAAATTTTAAAATCTTTCCCTGGTTAAATTTTATTTTATCCCTTGCACTTAAGGCAAGGGATGTAGTTGTCATGGGTGATTTAAATTACCTGGACATCTGCTGGGAGGAACAGTCAGTCAGGTCGGACCGTTCCAGGAGGTTCCTGGGCAAGATACAGGACCTCCACTTAATTCAGGAGGTGCACAGTCCCACCAGAGGAAATGCCCTGTTGGACCTGGTCCTGGCCACAGGCGACGACCTGGGAAGGGGCCTCCAGGTCCTTGACCACCTGGGTGATAGCGATCATCACTTGCTGGAATTCACCACCCAGCACAGGGTGTCAAGGGCTTGCAGCAAGGCGGTAGCCCTAGACTTCAAGAGGGCCAACTTCAATGAGTTGAGGAGATGAGTGGGAGAGGCACTGGGGTTCTCGAGAGCAGGGGAATTCAGTGCCCAAGATGAGTGGTCGTTCCTTAAGGAGACGAAACTCAGGGCCCAACGGGTGACCATCCCAACAAAAAGCAAGGGGGGCAGGAGTGCCCGAAAGCCCCCCTGGCTCACCAAGGGTGCACAGGAATGCCTGATTGCCAAAAAGGCGGCGTACAACTGGTGGAAAGGGGGTGCTATCTCCAAAGAGGAGTATACCTCCTCTGCTAGAGCCTGTAGGGGGGCTGTCAGGAGACCTAAGGTGGACATAGAGCTAGGACTTGCATCCAAAATCAAAGCTAATAAAAAGCGCCTTTTCAAATATATAGGGAGGATGAAGAAAGCACCGGGAAATGTGGGGCCCCTGCAAGATCCTGTGGGCAATCTGGTGGTTGCGCCAGAGGAGAAAGCAGACCTCTTTAACCAATTC